AAGGACAGGAGTCTTTTATAGATAAGGTAACAACCAAATACAGATAATTATGATCATGATTGTAGATAAGAGTATATAAAAATGTACAAATCATAAGGCAAATACCTATTGAGTAATGTGTCCTAATTACTGTCATAAGATTATCATATGTGGTATTTTTATTTCTCATCACAACCTATGGAAGTAAGCAAATATCACCTTCCTTTTATAAATGAAAGCAGTTAAGTAAATAAATTCCCCAGGAGTAGTGATTGGCAGGAGCTAGGTTTAATTTCAGGTGTCCTAACTCCAAATGTCTTCTTCCTAACCACTATGTTGTGTCCTAGTACTATTTGTACCAGTTGTGGTCAGTGGAGGAAAAGAAAGGAATTTATGACTTTATAGTTTCTCCACGGTTTTCCTTCCATCAGTCTTTTTTTTTTTTTCTCTGATCAGATGGAAGGGGGAGAGGGATCACGTTATGCTTCTTTCTAAAACCCACCTTGCTCTAGCAGGGCTGTGTTATCCATTCTGTCCAGATACTCAGCACCTTTATGAGTTTACAAAAACCAACAAACAGTTTGGTCTTTTCTAGTTCTTTCTGGGAAAACTGTTGAAAAATTATGATAGAAGTAAGCTGTTTCTCCCCCCTCCATTCTTCCAAAATGCCTTTATACTTATGTCTACATCATTTTGTTGTTGTGAACCGTCGAGTCCGAACTGACCCATAGTTGTCTATCTGGCAAGTTTTCAGGATCAGCTAATTGCATGGGATATTGCCCATCCTTTTCCTACGGAGCGGCTAGTGGCCTCGAACCATGTGCCTTTGGAATTGCAGCTCAGCTTCTTGTCACTGGGCCACCAAGCTCCCTGTACATCCTTTAAGGGGTTAAAATTCAGGTGGTTGGGAGGATAGAATCCTGATATCAGCTGCGCTAATCAGCACTTCACTGCTGTTTGTTTGGTAGATTCCTTGTAGGGAAAGCAGATGAAGCTATTATAATTTAATTTGTTATTTGAAGAGTTTAGAATGAAACAGTAGAGCAGCCATTTCAGATGTTCTTTTTCAAAGGACTTTTTGTTGATGTTATTTGCTTTTGTAGTTAAGTATGTTGTTGGTCTGATTCATTGGGATCACCATAATGTCTGCTCAATTAAAGCAAATTTAATTTATAATTTTAGAGATTTATACATTAAGATATTTTAATTGACTAAACAATACTATGTCTATATTCTTTCTTATGTTATAACTAAACTGTTGGAATGTATTTCATTCTCTGCGCTGCCAGCCCAAAGGCAAGTAGTCCACATGCACAGCAGAAAGATGGACAGTTTCCTCCCGCATGATTTACAACCTCTGAAAACCACTGGCGGGTCAGCTATGAGTTGGTTCTGTCTTACGGCACATAACAACATTGACAGTGATTAGGAAATGTTTCCTCAGAGGGTGCAATGATTACCAATATAAGTTTCTGAAGCCTGAAGTCATCTCTGGCTATAATATTATTTTATATAAAAAAATAACTCTTCCTCACCAAAGCATCAGGGAAACTTTTGACTAAATTATCCAGAAATCTTATCCAGAGATTTGAGTTTGATAATTAAAGATGAAAGGATTATACCCTTCTTTTCCTAATTTAAAAATAGGCACAGAAATCTGTAAAGATTCCATATAATATCTTTTAAAGCCACATATAGGATAAACCAGGTATAGTGAATTTTCCTTGTCTTTAACTCTTCTACTGTACTCCTTTTCTTGGTGTAATACGTATTTTCTAGTTTATATGCTATTGAAAATGCTAACCAGAGGATTGATTTCCTAGAAATAAAGAGTAGAGTTTATGGTATTTTTGTTTCTTATTCAAATTTGGCTCTTAAAGGACTTGACATTTTCTTTCTTCTTTTATTTCAAAATAGTCATTGAAGGAAAACCTTGCTAGGTGTTGGACCCTTACCGAAGAAGAGAAAATGTCTTTTGAAAGTCAGCAAAAGACCCTTGTTACAGAAAATGAATATTTAAGATTATCTCTGGAGAAGGAAGAAAAAGCCTTGAATTCATTACAGGAAGAGTTAAGAAAACTAAGAGAAAAGATCAGAATACTGGAAAATAAAGAAACAAGTACTGAATTAGTTACAGAAAATCAGAAACTAAGACAGCATTTGGAAGAGGAAAAGAAGAAGACATATAGCTTTCTTAATCAAAGGGAAACTTTACTAGAGGAAGCAAAGATGCTAAAGAAGGAGCTAGAGAGAGAACAGCTATTAACCAGTGCTCTAAGGGCAGAACTCCAGAAGTTAAGTGCTAGTCAGTCAAATGGCCGTCCAGACTCTCCTAATGTACTGACTGAAAAAGAGGAAATAGAAACCTTACGGGAAAGACTCACTGAGCTGGAGCGGAAGCTAATCTTCGAACAGCAGCGTTCAGATCTGTGGGAAAGACTGTATGTTGAGGCAAAAGATCAAATTGGAAAACAAGAAACGGATGGAAATAAGAAGGGGAGCAGGGGAAACCAGACGGCACAAAAGAAGTCAAAAGAAACGTTTTTGGGTTCAGTTAAAGAAACATTTGATGCAATGAAAAATTCAACCAAAGAATTTGTGAGGCATCATAAAGAAAAAATTAGACAGGCTAAAGAAGCAGTGAAAGAAAATCTGAAAAAATTTTCAGATTCCGTTAAATCTACTTTTAGACATTTCAAAGTTACCATCAAAAATATCTTTGAAAAGAGAAATAAAAGATATGGTGCTCCAAAAGAAGCAGCAGCTAAAAAATCAAGAACAGTTTATCGAGCGCATTTATACCCACAATACAAGGCGACAACACAAAAGCAGCAAAATAGAGGCCCTGCCACGCAGAGGGAGGGCAGGAGAGCAAACTATCATTCTTTGAGAAAAGGTTGTTCTGATGTATTTGACTGTGCTCGGCAAGAATCCCTTAGTCTTTTTAATGTAGTGTTGAATCCTGTAAGAATAGAGGAATTTAGACAGCTGATGGTAAAATACTTACTAGAAGAACTGGATGGTTTCCGTCATTGGCAAGAACTTGATCAATTCATCAATAAGTTCTTCCTAAATGGTGTCTTTATACATGATCAGAAGCTCTTCATTGACTTTGTTAATGATGTTAAAGATTATCTTAAAGCCATGAAGGAATATCGAGTAAACAATGATGGCGTGTTTGAGAATTTGGATGGATATATATATAGACACTTCCTTGGTGACACTTTCCCCCCTCCATATGGACCCAGGTCGGTTTACATAGCACCATGTTACTATAATAGTTTCTGACATCTACAGTTTGGATAGATTTTAATTATTTAATAAAGGTTTTCGGAATGTAATTTGTAAAAGACCTATACTTGACTGCCACTGATAATTTAGAAGAAGTTAAAAATTAAAGCAAAGATGTAATTTAAGTATTTTAGCTATTACAAATTGAACTTGGGCAAATGATTCTTAACTTTTAAAAAAATTAGTTCAAGAAGAATGTATAGTAAGTTCTCTTTTAGTCTTTCTTTTTAGTATACTTTATATGAAAATATGAGCATTTTTATTTACATACTAACCTTGGGAAGCTAGGGATGACCACCATTTAAATCTTAATTCAGAAGAACTCATAAATAACAATTCTGTTTCTATCTGTCCATTCTATTTACGCACTTAATTATGGCAGTTTATATCCCTGTTACAGGAGTAGTATTAATGCACGATCCAAGAGGCAAACGTAGCAAGTCAGGTTCTTTAGTGTGTGTTCTTCCCTGATAGTGCTTTCAAAAGCAAGTTTTTATCCATTGCGTATCCGCTTCATTCTGTAACATAAAGCTTAATAAATGCAATGTGTCTATAAAATAATGAGACTGGTTTTGGTGTCTTAAATACCTTGTCCTTTTAATGAGCAAAGCACTCTGAGGATGCCCAAAGGAAACTTGAAAAAGTTCACAAGCTAGTGTTAGGTAAACAAATAATATACAGGAAGAGAGGAATAAAGGCGTGGAGGTATGCATGTGTTGCCCTTGTTCTGCCTGGAGCTAACCTGAGATGAGTGAAGTCACCTGTGAGCTGAAATTTTAAAAACTTAACTTTTGAAGAAGTGAAAGCTTCCCAAATGTATTAAGGGATTACATTCCACACAAAGAGAAATGCATTTGCAAAGATTTGTGTGTGGGAAAACATGCAACTTAAAGGTGTAGGGAGGGTAGTGCTGGGGACCAGTGGAAAACTGGAATCATTAAGGGCTTCAGATGACAGGCTTTGTCATTGGGATATAGGGACACTCAGAATAATTCTGGTAGCAGCTGAGAGGATGGCTTGGGAAAGGAGTATGAAAGTAGAAACCAAGGAAGTCTTTCACATATTGCAGACATGTGCTAAGGAGTATCTACACTAGGATAATAGTTGCAGGGAGTAAAGTGGTGACAGTCATTTGAATGATCATAAAATTGGTGGTATTTGGTGTGAAAATATAAGGCGACAATGATTTTCAGACATCTAGGTGGCATTACCAATTGGCTAGTGATTACTAAGTTACAGAGATGACAGTTACCCTGGGAGGTGCCTTTCAGTTCCAGTTGAAATTGTAACTCACATTTAGTGACCTGTATGTGCTTGATCGTTTTTATAAGCCTTGTGAAAGCAGATCACCAGTGCATTTTTCTGAAGTGTACCTGGGTGGGTTCAAAGCAAAAGACTTTTATTTACATCCCAGTGTTTAGCCATTTGTGCCAGCCAAAGATAGAGATGCATTTTGGTTTTTAAGTGGAGGAGGATTAGTTGGCCATGGCCTCTATGATTAGTTGGCCATGGCCTCTATGAGTGTGTAGACTGTTCTCTCAATCCTGTCTATGTTGCATTTCTGTAGAGTGAATGAGACTCTATAAGCATTTTTAAAAACACCAACATTTCTGTAATAACAGAGTAGAAAGAAAAAGATTAAAACCAGATAGTAAAGCAAAAATCATCTTAGTTCTGGTGGCCTCGTGGCAAGAAGCTTCTCTGCAGTCCCAGAGGTGAGCAGTTCAAATCCAGCAGATGTTCTGCTGGAGAAGGAGGGACAATCTCCTCCTGTACCAGTCCGATCTGATTTGATGGTACACACACAAAAAAATATTTTTTTTTTAAAAAAAACAACAACAAATCATCCTAAGGAAAAGGAATTATTTAAATATGTTAAGTACTTTTTCGAAAACCACAGAAAATGCTTTTGGCACTTGGGTGCTCTGCTGGCATAGTCCTCAGGGAGTTACACTGCTAATCTGAAGGTGGTTTGAATCTTTAGTGGTTTGAATTTACCAGCAACAACATGGGAGAAAGATGGACAGTCTCGTCTAATGCAGTTTACAGCCCTAGAAAACAATGGAGAATCAGTTGTGGCCCGGTTCTAACTCCGTGGGAGACAGTGAGCTGTTGAGTTGGTTCTGACTTGACAGGGGTGAGTGAGATGGCACCACAGTTGTTACACAGAAGTAGTGATAGAAGCCGATAGAGATTGGAAAGCAGTACATGTAAGCATGTTACAAACCGTAGATGTGAAAAAAAGTTAGGATAGACTCTTGTTTTTAAAAGATGATGTGTCCTTACTGAGTGTTGAGGCCAGCAGAGAGGGTATTTTACTAGAAAGGAAGAAAAATCATAAACATCTCATTATTTTATTGTCACATTTTATGTTACCTACTGAACATTTCCTAGTTTTGCTAATCATTAATATTATTTGTATACTTTTTAGTTTCCATAGGTTAAAGCTACAACTGACTGAATACTTTTTAGTATACATATACTAAGGTCTTAATTCAGATTAACATCTTTATGCGTGCAGATAGCAAATTAATGGAGAAAAGCATTAGACTTTTTTCTAATTTAAAGAAATTCAACTCTAACATAGATGAAACATGTGTTTACTGCTTTCAGTCGACCTGATAAAAAGCAACGTATGGTAAATATTGAAAACTCCAGGCATCGAAAACAAGAGCAGAAGCACCCTCAGCCACAGCCATATAAAAGGGAAGGTAAATGGCATAAATATGGTCGTACTAATGGAAGACACATGGCGAATCTTGAAATAGAATTGGGGCAATTACCTTTTGATCCTAAATATTGACCATCATGATTAAGTTAAATTGGAAACTGTAACAAATAGATGCTTTCTACAAATGTTTGGTGTTGGAACTAAGATGAAATTTTCAAGTTGAGAATGTCTCTTTTATTTCTAAGTATCAGTTTGATGTCTATACTATTATTCAGAAACCTCAGTCAAAAGCTTACTAAACCTCCATTTTCCTGTAGTTTATTTTCACTGAATTCCTCCCCCATTGGAAATGTTCAGCTGTAGTTTTATTTTTAAGGAAACCAGGCATGCAATAGATTTTATGCATGAACTGAAACTTCTTTTAGTATATGAGCTTAAAGCAGGCTCAAATCATATGTGACAAAGTGTAATCAACACTGATATTTGTGTTAAGTTTGCAGTAGTACATTGTTTGAAGAATGTACATTGTGATGGAAATTTTACCTTTAATATTTTATAATCTTATACTTGCTTCTTGTCTTTTTGTGGGTTCAAGAGCCCGTTGGCTTGTGAAGAGCTTGCTGCCTTCTTATACGCTTGCTGACTTACTCTTTTGTGAAATTTCTTGCACATCTGAATATTGTGGAAGAAACAATAAAACTACACCATGAGGAAAACTAAAGGTCTTTATTTAAAATCCAGCATTGTATTAATACATGATTTTATACTTTGTGATGTTCAGTATATTTCCTCAGGAGTGCTCTTCAGTAAAGCCAAACATAATGGTCTTGTGCCAGTTCCAGGAGTCCTACTCATTGTTTATTGAAGTATCTGAGTAGCATCTGAATATTTATGTCCAGTATTTTCAGTTTCTCTGGAAAACATCTATTGTGCACAGTTAAGAATTTAATCTGTTGAGTTTTCCTTTTAATTTTTGCTCATAGATGTATATGTGACTGCCAATACGACCTTGTGGCAAGTGAGTGTGGAAGATAACAGTGGTTCTCTCATAGTTGCTGGAAGATAGGAAAGCACTTATTTCCTAGAAGTTAAAAAAAGAGCCAAAGAACAAATGTTGATGTAAAATAAGGCTAGGTTTTGAATATTGTTTAACATAATTTTAGAATTGCCTATTCTAATTTCCCCTCTAGAATGGTTTTCTTAATAAAATATATTAAAATATCTTTAATAAAAGTGTTCATTAATGGTAAGTAACGTACCTTGCTAGTCAAAGAACTGGGACTGGTATTGACTAGAGAAAAGAAAACTAAAATACAGAGTTTGAAAGGCATCATAAAAAAAAAATAAAAAAAAAAGAAAGGCATCATAAAAAAGATGATTTTGTCTTGTTTCCTTGAGTGCTAAACCTGAGGTGTAATAAAAACACCAAGACTTTTTCATGTTTACTTACCTCCTCTAAAATGCTAAAGATGACCAAATGCGTAGGAAATGATGAAGCATTCTGAAACTCTTTATATAACCAGTTTTGGGGACTGAGATAAAATATATCCGCTTCATCAAGATAATCACTTTTCCCAGTTAAATCTGGGGGACACTGGAGAAATCTCATTGGAAGTGGACAGTGAACATGGCTATAAAAGAAATTAACCATTTTAAAAATGTTTAAAATGTAAAAAAGTTATTAAGATTCAAATGACACTTAAGATATTTCTTGTTCATGTAACATAAAGTGAAGAATGAATCTAGATTCCATCCTAGGCCATTTTCTCAAAGATGGAGAACATGGTTTCCACCCTGTTTAGCAGTGTGATGGTAACATTATCTGTGTAACTTGCAAACTGAAGCATCAAACTCCATGTTAAAGTGGGAACTAGGTTAGTCACAAGCTAGGGAATGGGGAGCGGCATTGTATCTTTTTTTCTCTAGCATTTAATTGTTCCAGGAATGAAAGGGCCATGGGAATCAGGCAAGCTATTTATTTGTTAATATAAGAGTAATACTCCACAGCTTACATAGCATGATAGAGAACAGGCCATTAGCTAGAAAGGGGATAGATTAAATCCGTGAGAAGTTATTTTCTGGGGTCCCCTCCACTTTATAAAAGTCTTTTAAGATTTAGAAAGCAACACGTGTTGCCTTATTAACATCCAAATAAGTAATGGTTACTGTGGAATGGAAAAACTAAAGTGTCACCAAAAGTGATTCATCTAATACCAATTGTGACAAAACTGAGTCATTTGGGACATGCAAAAAGCCAGGTTTCTAACTTTGACTTGGGGAAATGAAGCCTTACTTGATATAAAGACATCAATGAGAAATAAAGTTAACATCTTGACTTTTATAACAGTTTTTGGTAGGTTAATCAGAAGTAGGTACTAGTATTTTCCCCTCCATCTTTTGCTTTGGAAAGAGCTTAAGAAAACTTTATGAACTATAAAAAGCCCAAGATAACCAACACTATGGACAGCATCTCAGTACCTCTAAAACTGCTGTTCTTTATGTTATTCTAGTGTGAGCAAAAATGGCTGTTAATGATTGGCACTAGAGATTTAACTCTATATTCCTCATATGTTAAAGCCCCCTAATCTGTATTATATCTAAGTCAAATGCTTGAATGTGTGTACGTGGAAAAACTTTAGCTTGTTTAAAGCAAGGTAGAGTTAAATAACTGTAGAACTATTAATAGGAAAGATGGTGGCTTTATCTTTGTACCATCATTAAAAGACAACACAAAAAAATTCCAGGCCATTACAGTGGGGTCAATTCCAACTCATAGCAATGCTTTCTTAGTTTTCCCAAGGTATAAAACCTTTAGGAGCAGCTATTGGCTTTGAAGAGAGCCCTGGCAGCTTACAAATAAGGAGTTGTGCTGCCAACCCAAAGGCAAGCTGTTTGAATCCACAAATTCCCTGCAGGAGAAAAATAGGCATTCACCTCTCCTGTGATTTACTGCCTTTGAAACTCCGCTGGAGGGTCAGTTCCAACTTGAGGGTAAACACCACCAACAACTGGCTTTGAACTGCTAACCTTTTGAATAACAGTCTAACACAACTTATTGTACCACTAGGGTTCTTTTATACTATCAGTAGTCATATAGTAAATAATACAATAATAAAATATACATTAATGTAGATACATTTATATATTAATATAATGTTTATGGATTTATAAATATTAAGTTCTTAAAGAAAAAGCCTAAGGTCAAGTTGGTATCTTTACAGCCTTGCATGATTGAGTCAAATTTACTATTTTACATTGGCAGAAATACTTATTTCAAACATTAGAACACAGTCTAATTTCCCCTATTTTTACAGATGAGCTGATATTCAAAACATCAAAACCATTTAAGGTCAAGGCAACAGTCTTGTAGTTACCAGGAACTAGAATTCAGTGCTTTGAGATTAATACAAAATGATGTCAATGTAAGATGTAATAGTAGATAGTTTTGTCATCCTGGTAATAGAGTACAGAAGAACTTTGATTACCTGTAATAAGGAGTAGAGTGGCAAGGCATCAATACAAATACTGAAGTTGCAGATTCATTGTGACTGCTGAAACAAAGTTCTTGAATGTTACTCATGACATCAAGGACACCTCGTTGATGAACTAATCCAGTGTATAGAGCAAGGAGCATGTTTGATAAAACCAGGAAACTTACAGCTGGTTTCTTCCATATTTTCAAGTGGGTTAGTGAATAGCCTGTATGAAGATGCACACATTGAACAGTGATAGTGGCAATCATTGAGTTCTTATGTTACTGTTTTTAGGTGCTGACCAGTTAGTTCTAACTCAAAGCAAGAAATCCTGCCTGATCTTGTGTTCTTATAATTTCAAACATATTTGTGATTTTTTATGATTCTATAAGCTGTAATGTTGTCATGGACAAAATATAAGCAATAAGTATCTTTATAATATTCCTGACAATTCTTGCCTAGATCAAGACATTAACATATAATGGAAATAATATCCATAGCTGTGGAGTCCATGTTTGAATTCTAGCTCTAATTCATGTTGCTTTACTTGGATGTGCAGTAATTTCTCTATCTGTAAATGGTAAAATTCTACTTTTTCCAAGTATGAGGAAAACAATGTTTGGTGTCTGTTCTGGAAAATGAAAAGATGGGAAATTATTAAGTCTGTATACTGAACAAATCATTCAAGCTGGATTCTATGAACTATGAAAAAGAACGTAGCATCAGGATTGGAGGAAGACTCAAGAACAACCTGCATTATGCAGATAACACAACTTGGCTTGCTGAAAGTTAAGAGAACATGAAATGCTTGCTGCAGAAGATCAAGGACTACAGCCTTGGTATGGATTATAAATGAACATCAAGAAAACAAAAGTCCTCACTACAGGACCAACTGTCAACATTTTGATAGATGGCGAAAAGATCGAAGCTGTCGATGATTTCATCTTGCTTGGATCAACAATTAATACCAGCAGTCAGGAAATCAGAAGACATATTGTGTTGGGCAAGTCTGTTGTTAGGGTCCTCTGCAAAATACTAAAGAGCAAGGATGTCATTTTGTAGACTATGGTGTGCCTTATTCAGGACATTATCTTCTCAATCACCCACTATGCATAGGAGAGCTGGACATTGACTAAGGATAATAGAAGAAGAACTGATGCTTTTGAGTTGTAATGTTGAAGAAGAGTGCTGAATATATTCAGTGTACTGCTAAAAGAACACACAGCTATGTCTTGGAGAAAGCGCAGCCAGAGTCATCCTTGTAGGCAAAGACGGCGAAGCTTTGTCTCTCATACTTTTGGCATATTGCTAGGAGAGGCTGCCCTGGAGAGGGACATCATGCTTGGAAAGGTGAAGGGTCAGTGAATGAGAGAAAGATCTTCAAGATGGACTAAGCCTTTGACTACAGGCATGTGTCCAAGTACATCAGAGATGACAATGGCACAGGATAGGACGAGGTAATGTGTTCACAGGATTGCTATGAGTTGTACTCAACTCAATGGACACCTAATCACAACCACAAAAGTAATATCCTGCTACCTCCAAAAAAAGTAATATACCCACAGCCTAATTTAAGAGACTTCCTTCCTAAACATCCTGGGACTCTAGCATCTCACATGGTATCCACAGACTTTGCTAACCACTTATCAGGGAGTCATAGTAAGGCCTAGTGGTAAGAAGCTGTGGCAATCCCAGAGGCATTCCAAAAGGCACTTGGTTCGAATTTACCAGCAGCTTCATGTGAGAAACATGGGCAATCTCCCATGTGATTATATTGCCACAGAACATGCTAGAGGGTCTGTTATAGGTTGGTTCTGATTTGACAGCACAAACCCATCACATCGCCATGCATCAGAAGTAAGTTAGTGATTTCCTGCAAATTCTACTATGTAACAGCTCAGAATAATTTATTCCTGTTATCTAGACCTACAAAAATAGACTTAAAAGTGAAATATCAAGAAATACTCTGGAAGAAAGCACAAGAAAGTATCAATAATAAATAGGGACTAAGCATAGAAGGTTAGAAGGCATACTAATGTTTTGCATGTGTTTTTCTCTTAGGAGCATTTGTTATTTTAAAAAGAATATTTAAAACTTGTTCTTAGGAATTGTTCTCATCATATTCCTGTTAAGAAATACTTAAAACCCATTAATGCTCTACTTGGTGATTCTCCCGAATAAAAATGTAAAACTTTGCCTTTCATGAGTTGCCTCCCTTTTGCTAGTACTCTCCTAAGAATCATAAGCAATAAAAACCTGTGAGAGTTAGAACCTATGCAAAGGGGAATATTGTCAGAGAAGGAAAGGTCAAATATTTTCCACTAGAACAAGAAACAGAAAAGTGGTCACACAGTACCAAAGAGGAGAACTGGTTTGTCTCAGAAAGGACGGCAGTCCTACTGGGTTCTGCCTCTCTGGCTGGGTTCTGTGTGATATTATGAGATGAGTGATGAGCAATGACACTTTCTTTATAATCAAGTTCAAAGTGCTTCGAAAAGTTGGGGAAAGAAGCCATACGTTATTGATTCTGTCAGACTTGCAGAGGGGTAGTAAAGTTGGCCTCTGACTTTGACAAGAATCATCAGAAAATCCAATATTAAATTTCTTATTTTTTATAACTGGAAATACAGTAAAACTAGAAATACATCTCAGGTTATCTTTTAAAAGGTTATAGTACACTTTTTGAAAACTATTAGGTCTGTTTATTTTCAGTGTTTTAGTGAGAAAATTAAAGGCATTTCTGTTCCAGAGTGGAGCACAATGAAAAATGAGACTAGGGAGGGAAAAGAAAACAAATCCATCAGCAGCTCTGCAGGACAAAAATGAACAGTCTCCTGTGCGTCAATGAGTTGGACAATGTCTAGAGGTAGAAGAATTGATACCTTTGAGCTGTGGTGCTGGAGAAGAGTGCTGAACATACTTGTGTACTGCCACGAGAACAAGCAAGTCAGTCCTGAAGAAGGTGAAACCAAGCTCCTCCCTGGAGGCTATGATTTTGAAGCTCAGTCTCACATACTTTGGGCATGTGGCCTGAAGGGACCAGTCATTGGAGAGGGACATCATGGTTGGAAGAGCAGAGGGAAAACACAGGAAAGGAAGACCCAGGATGAGACGGATTGACGCAGTAACTGGAGAAATGGGATTAGGTCTGTTGAAGACGATGAGATTGGCTCAGGATAGGGCAGGATTCAGAGCTGTTATACATAGGGTCGCTATGTTCAGACTTGATGGACAATGAGTAAAAGTGATAATGAGGGCACTGGGCAAAGACAGAAGGTATCCAATGAATTTTATTTTGCTACTTCTCTGAGGATATATTTTATCTTTTTCCATAGTGAGAAGTCAATACCTAAAACAAAGACTTAGCAGTGACATACAAGCAATTTGGAGCACTTGTGGCCACGTGGGTTAAGAGATGGCACTGCCAAGCCCAAGTCAAACTGCACAGGCAGTTTGAATCCACCTCCACCAGCTTTCCTGCCAAGTGATTGACAGGCTCTGAAAACCTGCTGGAGGGTCAGTTATGAGTTGGTTCTGACTCAACTGCAATTAACAACAAGCAGCATTTTACTTAGAGAAACAGGTAAGAAACCAGTTAAAATTGGTGAAAGTTTTTGCCTCTGGACAAGGGAAGTGAGAAGGAAAGCAAGGAAATGTAACAAAACAAAACCCCAGGCTCTTTATAGAACGACTGCAAACAATGTGCATGTGTCATTTTGATAAAAAGTATAGCTGAAGTGCTCCTTGGAAGCAAAGATGATCAAGCTGCATTTCACATACTTTGGGCACGTTGCTAGAAGAGGCTCTTCTTGGAGAGGGACACTATACTTGGAAAGGTGGAGGGTCTGTGAAAGAAGACTTTCAACCACATGGACTGACGGTGACTGCATCAGTGAACTCGACTGTGTCAGAAGTGTGAGGAGAGCACAGGATAGGGTAGGGTTCAGGTCAGCTGTCAACAGGGTCAGCTGTGAGTCATTCTTCACTGACAGCACCTAACAACAACTTTACCCCTCGGTAGCAATTTATTTCATTGTTTCAGACTGGGGGCAGATCTTGACTCCAGAAATTCTGCCAACTAAAACCACAATATTTTGGATTGGGAATGTAGATACACACAATAAATATAAAACTCTTTATAAAGAAAAGGGGAAATGGGCAGTTAGCGGAAAAAACGCAGATTACAAGAATGGAAACTCAAGTTTCTAAATTAACCAAATCATTACACAAAGGCTTGTCATCCAATACCCTGATAATCCTCATCTAGGACAAAGTAAGACTTGAGTTTGTTACAGCTTTCTCAAGAGATTACTTTAAAACCCCTGAAACAACTGTTGTTGTTGTTATGTGCCATCGAGTCGTTTCCGACTCATAGCGACCCTATGCACAACAGCTCTAAACCCTGCTCTATCCTGCGCCAAC